AGTCAATAGGGATAATTCCTACTTACTTTAATAGGGTTGTGATTTTACCCGTTTTGCATACACAGTTTTGAGTGGAGATACACAAGCTGCTAGGTGCTATCACTGCTCAGCAAATAAAATAACCAATTAAGAAGATACTGTGCTGTTCAGCAGAAATAACAGCATAAACTATTTAATCCCAGTTTAGTACTGCAATGCTTTACATGTGCTCATACCCAGCCTATCCAAAATCCTATTTTTGCAAAGGTTTCTGACATGACTGAAACATATCAGTGAATTAAATTGTACTGTACAATGGAATATTCTTCCAGATTCATTCACTGGAGATTGCAGATATATATTTTTGCTCTTGAGACATTTTTTTAATCTGGAAAACATGCACCTTCTTAAGTGGTCGTTTTTTTTCACACCTTGTGATTCTGTTGAAATGTTAGTTTTCAAAGCAGAGATGAAAAAGATGAAAGCATTTCAAAGCAATGCCTGGCAACTTTACTATTCAGTTCCCATTTGATGTTAATTGTCATGTGACTCCTATTATCACACCTCTTTGAATAGATCATTCTTGGATTTCAACGTGTTACAAAATGAATCCTGTCTCTTTAACTGAACCTCTGGAGCAAGATGTTAGCAGTGGAAAACAGACACAAGCCATTTGGTTAAGTAATCCATAGAAGGAGACCAAAAGTTTTGGAGGAAAAGAAGTTCTGCTAGTGATTAATATTTTCTGACTTATTTTTAATAGGACATTATATCATCATCCTAGACCAAGAAAGTGGAACAATTTCTTTAATGGCAGGACTTTTATGAATGACTCTTAGGTTGTCCTGTTCATAAATTAAAAAAGAAAAAAAAATAAGTGCATGGAAGTCATGCTGGGGCAAATACTTGATGTTGTGGGAAAAAAAAAAAATAGAAGCTTAGGTAAATTGGGGTGGGATTCAGGAACTTACTTTTACCCAGGAAAGGTGCTGAAATACATGTTTACCTTTTAATTAAGAGCCCCTAAATTCAGTGGGCTTCAACACATTTAAAATTAAGCCAGTTTGTTAACACATTCCTGAATCCAGGCTTGAAATTCTAGGGATGTCACTAATAAGAATGAAAGTAAATTGGTAGTGCTTTGTACAATTTCTTGCATTGAGCACACAGGCTGTTTGCCTGCCTCAGCTAACTTCTGAAGAGCCCCCATATTTGAAAGCTGTCAGTCCTTTGGATTTGTATTCAGGGGTGCTTTAACTTTTGTACAGTTGTTTGGTTTATTAAGCATTTTAGTGCCCTAAAAATCAAGCTTTTCTTTATTTTTATTTTTTTTCCATTTCAATGTAGCAAAAATCAGCCTCCTCCTTTGATAGAATAACATGTACAGGTAGTATGCAAACATCATTTTATTTTCTAGATAATACAGTAAATGATTTTGAAAAACTTTTTGTAGGTCAGATTTGAGATTGGTTGACACGGTCCCTATGAATTACTAATTAGAAAAGAGTATATTACATTTTCAGGAAGGAAGAATGTATAAATCTTCTTACCAAAGAAGCACTGATCGGAATCCCACTTACAGCTTATGTTTACTACAAAGTATGAGAGAAACTCACAGTGAACCCTTTGACTCTAGTTATCTGGATAAATTATATATAGGATAAAAATAACCATTTTTATTAACCTTAGCATTTTGTTACAATTAAAGCTAATATAGAAATATCTGGCCATAACTAAACACACACCAAGGTATTTTAGTAGTGTTTGGGCTCTGTTGCATGAATCAGTGCTAAATTCTAGCACGACTCAGTTTTCTTTCTTTCCTCATTCAAGCTACTACAGTGATATATGGAATACCTCTTCCTCTATCACTTGGAACAGCATAGTTCTACATTTAATTTGTGGGGAAATGCCTCAGTAGAGGAGGGACATCCTTTTTTCTTAATGGATATCAACAGGATTTAAAACAAACAAAATAGTGGCAAAAATGATGTCTCCTCTATACAAAGATGTCATGTTTTCCTAGAGAATCCAAAATTCTCCATTGCTGAGCCTTGTGGTAATTATATAAACACTAGATTAATGTAACAAAATGTGGATTATCCAATCTAGTGGATTAGGGTGAAGTATCATCCCATGACAGTGATTTTTTTAATTACATTAGAAACCTAAATTACCCATTTTCTTAATTCTCAATCCCTGATGTGCTGACTAGAAAAGGTGAATAGGTGCTAGTGCCTCATCCTTTATCAATAACTTCTAATAGCATTTCTAGATTAACGAAGACATTGGTGTAGTGTTGAACTTCAGAAAGCAGAATCATTAGCCAAAGTATCTGTTTAGCTGCAGGCAACAGGTCTCATCAACTGTCCCTAAACCAGTAGCATAGCAAAGTGGAAGAGGACCAGGATGTCAACAAAAAGAGCCAGCATTGCCCCTGCCGCACCAATAGCCGCATAACCACTGATGCTGCTCCATGTGTAGCTGCCTCTCAGAGTGCTCAAGTGTCCATTTTTGCCTTTCCTGTAAAGTACGTGTTTTGTTATCCTCTTTTGGGTGGATAAAAACAATCCTTTCCTCAAAGTTTGAGGACATGGCATCATCCCAGAATGTGGAATGAGAGTCCAGTAACTAAACTTGGGTTCTGAGGACTCAGCTAAGCACTGCTCCTTTTGCAACCAGTGCAACCCTGAAGATGCATTTCAATAGCCTCATAAAAGCTTTAACAGAATTAAATCCTTAACGGAGATAAATAAGCACAAGTCACTAAAGCAGAAAATTCATTATCTAAAACTTCTGTACTCTAGTGGCATTCAGCATATTAGGCCAAAAGTGGGCAGATCATATTTTTATTCAACATAATGATTTAAGAAGTTTAATTACTAAAAAAAAAAATCTTTTTTCCTTAACACTCACTTCCGTTAGTTTATTTTTGTTTTGCTTATCACAAACTTGAATGGTCTGTCCCCTTTGATTATCTGTGACAGATGTTGGCAATAGATGCTTTGGTCTATTGACAGACTCCATGTTGATTTAAAAAGCCATGCAACTTATTTATTAATTTACTTCCATCTGAAATTCTTCTTTTTTCAGGTGATCCATGCAGACATCTGTACTCAGGCTTTACTTCTTCAAAATGCTGATGTAGTTGTAATGAATAATGTTTTTGAATATTTTCTTGGCAGCCTGGAGCAAGCCAGGTAAGCTGTGTGTCTGAGCAAGTAATCTTTATCTGGCAATGTGTTTAACCTTTTGAGTTATGAAAATCTTTCAGGTTATGTTTCTTGAAGTTACACACATAATTTATATGAAGGAATAGCTTTTAAAGTGTCTTCACTTGATTGTCAGATTTAGCATAAACCATAAGGTAATTCGCTAGTTTTAAACTGAAAAAATGTTTCTCTATTTATTCTACCAGTTTTTTTCCAAAACATTGCAGTAGTCAGTTAAAATAACCCCCTGTCTTCATAAGGGGTAATTGAATGGTCCAAAAATTGCTGTAACAATAATTGATACTAAAGTACAAATGACAAATCTTTGAAGTTCATCTGCTTTTGGTTACTAAGTTGTATAAGTCACTTCTCGGCCTCTTGAAGGCTCAGATCAAATTTAGTTTCATTTTGCATTGAATGTGTTTCTTTTTCTAAAAGAGATCATCTTGCGATCTTTAAATACCATATTTAAATTTCAAAATGTGTTTCAGAGCCTGGGAATTTATTAGTCAAAATGTACGGAAGAAAGGGTTGTTATTAGTGACAGTCCCAAGCCTTGAAGAATCTCTCTCAACCCTGCAGGTTTGTGATTTTTTTTTTTAAACAGTTTCTAGCAGATATGTTTTATTACTTCTTGTAAAAGTTGCTTTGATACTTAATCTGCGTTCTAATAGTTAATATTCAGTAGCACATGTACAACTAAGGTAATTTAATTTGAAGTTTAGATCAGGCACTTGAAAACTGGGACTCTGCATTTTATACCCAACTCTGACACCCATTTCCATGGTTTTGCCCTTGAATCCCAGTGCCTTACTTTTCCCAGCTATAGAATAGAAAAACTTCTTATTAGCCTAACAGGGCTATTCTGCTGTTTCATTCATGTAATGCCTTAACTCTGAGGTTCTCAAAGAATCTCATACTCTGTTTCAGTGTATAGCCTCAGGACTGGAAAAAAAAGACTGAACTAACCCAGATTGTGCTCTTAACCAACCTTAATGTAAACTACTCATGAAGTAATATTGGTGTGGTATCGGCAGTTTTAAACACAATGGTGTTTAAAACCGATTAAATACCAGTTGTGTGGTATTGGGAGTCCTAAACCTGATTAACTCTCTTCATTGTCAAGTCTTCTAACAGTCAACTTGGGGCCTGCTATTAGAAGCCGTGAAAACTAACAAAACTGGTCATTTGGGGGGGCTGTTATACCACAGTACTGTGCATTTAATGGGGATTGTTTACAGTTTACACATCATTAGAGAGGGGATGTTTTAGCAAATGTGTCAGTTGGAAGAATTAAGTATATCACTGGGCTACTGATAGAGTGGCTCACTGAATATACAATATTCTGCTTTAGAAGAGTTAGAATCATCTGTCAGCTGTGAAATAGATCCTCCACCACATTAAAAGCAAAGATGCACTTTGACTTCTGGAAGGGACAGTGGTTAGACAAGAATAGTTTAATACAAAAACAAGATTGATCATGAACCTCCATGTGTGTGGAGAAAGAAAATACCTGCAATAGTGCCATAGTTTCTCCTGCTGCAGACATCTAATTTATATAACCTATTAAACTATGCCTTCCAGTCAGGAAGGCTAACTAGGTCTTTCCAGTCAGGAACCATTAGGCTTATTTACTTATACATGTATATGCAGAAAGCCAACTGAAATGTGTTAGCAGTGTGTATATATAGTCCAGTTGCTCTCTCTTCTGCTGACTGAATTACTTTTAAAGTTATCTTTAGATGTTCCTTTTGAGGTCAAATAATGTTTGTGGAAAAAGTTTATCTGTTCTGAATAAATTATGTGTAAGCATGCTCTTATTCTGCTCAGTCCTTGGAACTGCAGCTGTTCTCAAAACTGTTAATTTTTGTTTTCTTTGTTTTAGATGGACATACAGCTCAGTCAGTGGGTAGAAGAGGTGCAGCTGGACTATGATGTGTACATGGACAAGGACATTGATAGAGAAGCACTTCAACAAATTCATTTATATAAGATTGTCTAATGTGCCAACCTGTTTACTTGTAACAGTGTAAATTAGGTAGTTGCTTGGTCAACACAGAACTCATTGCTTTCAATGGAATTTGTGTGGCAGGATGAGGATTGATCCCTATATCCAGGAAATATTGCAAAAAAAAATCTTATAGTTTATTTTAGAAACTACATGTTGTTAGTAATGAAAAAAATAATGAAAATGTGCTTTTGAGGGCATATTTTGAGATGGAGAAAATTTCTTTAAGAAATTTTCTCCATGTCGGAATACCACATTGAATTTTAGCTAACAGGTCTGCCTGTGCCTGTTTTGGACATAAGTATTTGGAAGAATGACTGACTGCATCCTGACAACCAGGGAATCCATCTTGTGCACTGTTCATTACGGTTAAAGTTAAATACAAGCATTTCAAATGGAAAATAATGAACCAGTATTAATAGTGAGCCAGTATTAATTGTGAATGTGAACGTTATTTAATACAACTTCATTTTAAAGCTATATTATATTGCAGTGGTGTTGTTTTCTTTGATATCAGCAACTTTACCTTATTGACTTTAATTTTGTACCTATGAATTGTTTTCCTCAAGGAATGCATAGTAACTACAGAACCATATATATCCATGTAGAGAGAAAATGCTGTCCTGGTCTATGGCATTTTTGTGGTAATGGTGATCTTCCCCGTTTGCTGAATTGTCCTTACAGTTGGCTATTGATGTAGGATACTTAGCTATACATAGAGAATTATTCAGATGTATTGGTTTAACTGTAAAACAGTGGTTTTCAGACTTGAAGCACCATTCAGTAGATTTGAGGTACCCTCAGAAGGTGCCAGCTTCTAATTTTCACTCATTTTTTACTACTAATTTTCATTCATTTTTTACTATAGAATAAGAAGTAGTTCTGTTGCAAAGAACTCAGAACATCGGTGGGGGGGACACACACACACAACAGCAAGGAATAGGAGATACTCTGTTTACCAGTGCACCCCTTGGAGTAACTAGGAACAACGGCCACAAACTGACGGAGAGCAGGTTTAGGTTAGACAACAGGAAGAACTTCTTTATGGTAAGGGTTGCCAGAATCTGGAACAGGCTTCCAAGGGAGGTGGTGCTCTCCCCTACCTTGCAGGTTTTTAAGAGGAGGCTAGACATGCACCTGGCTGGGGTAGTCTGACCCCAGGGCAGGAGGTGGAACACGATTTGCTAAGGTCCCTTCTGACCCAAACATCTATGAAAGTCCACAGCCAGTCAGAATGCTTTGAACACTATGAATTCCTATTTAGCATCTCTGGGTTTATCTTGTGAATTATGTTTGCACACCCAGTAATGCTAACATTGTGTAAACACCCTGCGACACCCTTGAAAGAATTTCAAGGCACCCCACTGCTCTAGGATAAGAAGATTCCTCAATTTGCTCCAGTCTTACTAGTGATAATAAAGGGGTATTATAAGGGGTTAAAAAGCTGATGGTTCTTGACAGGTGGCATGACCTAATACCATCTTTGTGATGGGGTAAAACAGGCGTGTCAATCCAGCTTCCTGCAAGCTGGATCTGGCCCACTGAGGTGTCATGTAGCCCCCCGGGTTTTTCTCCATCACTGCTAGAGCTGCAGTGTCAGCATGGCCAGAACCTCGGGGTTCAATGCCATGGCAGAACTTAGTGTTTTTGGATGTCCTTGACAGCTAAAATGGGTGGCTTTTCACCCCATGGATGCTGGCCATGCTGACAGTGGCTGCAGCACCTAGGGCTCTGGGGGCTGTGTGATGGTGGTGTTAAATTCCTGACTGCCAATGCTGCAGGCTGCAGCCAGAAGCCAAGTGGTTCGGATCCAACCTGCAGGGATCTCTGGTCTTGATCTGGCCCATAGGGCCAAATGAGCTTGACATTCCTGTGTAAAATATTGGCAATGCATAACAGGATCTGCCCCTGACCTATTCAGAAAGTGAAGAGAGCCTCCCATACCCATCCAGCTTATACTGATATTTCAGTTTTCTCTTCTAAATATATAAGGCTTCCAGTCTGTTGAAAAGCTTCTCCATTTTAGACAACACTGAGAATCAGTACATTTTACTGATTTTTTTCAGAGTTTCTGTCCAAGAGCATTGCCAGTTTGGAAGCAGTATTACAACATGTCCAGAAGAATGCTGTACAAGTTATGGCCTTTCAAATGGCAAAGCCTAACATTGGATGCTGCTCTTATTGTTCTAATGACTTGCACATTAGCAAACTACATCTATTAAAAGTTGGAATCCTAGAACAATAGGGCTGGAAGAGACCTAAGGAGGATCTCTAGTCCAGCCCTCTACTTAAACACTTCCAGTCAAGCCCTTGTCTAACTAGCTCTCAAAAACTTCCAAGGAAAAGTATTCCATAGCATCTCTAGGTAAACTATTCCAGTGCTTAACCACTTCTAATAATTAGTATGGTAGGCAAAACAGAGCAACAGTCATTAGGGACTTCACAGGACATTAAGTGAATAGAGGTTTATTACATCGGATAGAGGTTTATTTGGGGGGAGGGGGGAGATAGAGGGGCAAAAGGTCAACTCTCCACTTGTTTTTGAGTTAGGAGGGTTGTAACTTGACTTTGAACTTATGCCCAAAGGCTGGGATGGATGCATTTTTCAGACATTTTTAAAATAAAGATGGAGACTTTTGAGTTAACTTTTGTATTCGTTTGGATTAATTGACCTGGTTGCATTCCTTACAGAATTGATCAACTAAGAAGGGACTCAGTGGGGCTAAACACAAGATAGTGACAGTGCGAGGTTGTTGTGATCAAACTACAAGAAAGAAGCAGTCCTAAAAGAAGACAGCATTTAACATGCATTTCAGAATAAAGGAACCAGCACTACAATAGTTGACTCAAAAAAATGTGGAGGTCCTAACTTGCAATAAGGTCTCCAGTAAAAGGAAAAGATTGTATATAACTTGGTCACAGAAGGCTAATATAATCACACCACAATGTGAAGGGGAAAACCCCCCACACTGTATCATGTGTTAATTCTCTTGCAAAGAACTGGTTGCTTTTTGGTTTTCTCTGCCTTTTGGTTGATCTCTGTGTAATCAGGCTGTATCTTTTCAATTTTGTCTTCATAATAAGAGGACAAAAAGCACCAATTTTACCACTATTCTCTTTGTTGGCATGTTAAGTCCTCAAATACTTTAGTTTTTTTATGTTACTACTAGGTAGAAATTTCAGTAGAGGCAGGCTGGAGCAAATCACTAGCACATTTGATCACATCTGGATCCTCTGACTGTAAATATCATACATCTGGAGGTCATATGCTATAGCGGGTATTGCAGGGAGGCTCCCTCTGCCTCTTTCAGAAATAAGGCTTAAATTAGAGGTGAGCCCAAGCTAGTTTCATCTGTCACCCTATAGAGGTGCATGACATATAGACATTCCCCCTCACTTCCAAAATGCTGGCTGCTTTTTTGTTCTTAGTTCTGCCACTGGTGTGTTGTGTGGACTTGGGCAATTAATTGCACTTTTCTCTGCCTCAGTGTCCTCATATGAAGAGGGGAATTATAACCCCAGCCATGATGGGGGAAGGGGAGCTAAATTCATTGTCTAATTTACTTTCTTCAGATGAAAGGTACTACCAAAGTGTGAAGTCAAGCCAGCCTCTGTGCAGTTATCTTATAGGAGGAGGACTGAAAACAGCACTTTCTGGTGGTAAGTTTTACTTTTCCTTGAAAAAAATATTTTGGAAAATGGATCCTATATAACCCACTCAATAGCATTTTCCACAGTGCCCTCAGTCACTGGCCTCTGGGGAAAACATACCCACAGGTCTACTGATTTTTTTTTTTTTTTTCTCCCTAAATTCTCATCTGCAAGAGCAGTAGCACCCGGTCTACCACTGGTGACACTGTACTGATGCAAACTCCCTTCCAACTGCCTGTCTGTGGCTGATGCAGCTTCTGTGCAAAGTAGCAATGTGACCTCTGGATACAAAAGAGAAGCAGGTCTATGTGAAAAGCAGAATGTGCTAGCATGGGGGTCGGCAACCTGCTGCAAATGTAGGTCACAGCTTACAGTCCAGCTAGCACTGCAGGCCACCATTTCCATCTGGCCACTCATGGGAGCAGAGGCTACAGCCTTTCCCCCTTCACTTGGGCTGTAGCAGCATGCTGTTGGCAAAAAGTGAACTGAATCAAATGGTTCAGGAATCACCCTTCCCTTAGTAAAATATAAACTGCATTAGACCTTTGCAGGCTGGATCTGGTCTGCAGGTGGTAGGTTGCTGACCCCTGCATTAGAAAATTGGACAGGCTGTGATGCGTGCTGTAGTCTTGATTCAATCACAATATCCAACATTTTCAAACTTGCTGCCATAATTTAGGGACCCACATCCAAATGTAATGGCACTTTCTATGCTCACTGAGGTCAACGGATGCTGCAGACACTGGGCTCTGAAAATCAATCTACTCTTCTGTAGGTCACAATACTGGGATTTAAAGGCCTAACTTCATGTGTACAATTTTGGCTTCTACAAGATATAGCTATTTGAATCTTAAACTGATCAAAGACTACTTGGGGTCTTCAGTAAAGCAAGGAAAGCTCCTAGGATTTGCAGTGGTAGGATGTGAACAGTGAAGTTTTAAGAGTGATAGAGGACTGCACAAAAAAAGTGTTGTCAGTATTCATTATAGTGTGAAGATTTTTGGGGGGCAGCCTGATATTGAAAGTGAGAAATTAGGCTGGCCTTCTTGATGGGGGGTTTCTTAGACTAGGGGTAAGTAGGTAACCTTTTCCGGCTGCAGGCCAGGATGACCCACCCCAAGTCAGAGAAATGGGCCAAATCCAATGGTTCCATGGGCTAGATCTGGCACCTGTTGGTTGCTGACTCATTTTACATAATAGTTTTAGTGGGGGCTAGTAACACCTGCTTAGCAGGATTTAGGAACTGAGGATTTTTAGAGAAGAATGGAACAAAGTAAGTGCTGCTCATTTCTCCCCCATTTTCTACATTTTTATTATTCACCTTTCTTTTCCTAAGTGTTTCCTTTGCTCTTTTCTTCTCTCTGCTACATTCATTCAATTTGTTCTTTGTTCTCAACCTTTTGTCTCTTCCTGCCCTCTATATCCTGCCACGAGCTGGTACTCACCTCTAATGTCACCTGGGGTGAATAGAAAAATGAGCAGCAGTCCTTACTCAGGGTTACAGCCAGCTGCCTGTGATGGTGGTGTAGCTGAGTTGCCACAAGACTTACCACCCACCGTCAGAAGTGATGGAAGATATTAAAAAAATAGTGAAAAATTATTAAATTCATATAAATCCTGGCTTTTTAAAAAATGGACTTCTATCATAGATGATGCAATCCTTAACTGCCAATAATTTTGACAAGTGGGCTCTCAAGCATCTCCACCTTTATGCTGTTATAAATCCTGTGTACAAGAAGTGTGTATACTTGTAGAAATGCTTTCTCATAAGTGCAAGGAAGGAAAGAGGCAACATCAGCAAGTAAACTTCTATTAAGTGAGCATCTAATTCAGTTGCAACACAGTATTCAATTAGTGCTTTGAAGTGGGGACGGGTGTCACAGGCTAGCTGGGCACTGTGAGGGTATCAATTTTATCACAGGCCAACTGGGCTGTTTGATTCAGTTTCAGATTGAGGAGGCAAAGTTGGGAGTAAAATAAAGGCAAACTTATTATAGCTTACACACACACACACACACACACACACACACACACACAACAGTTAACAGGAAAGATAAATGCGATAAGCAGATAATGCAGTATTAAAGAGCTAATAGTAAATAATAATAACAGATAATAACAACACACAGATCAATTCTGTCGCAGGCCAACTGGGCACTGTGAGGGTATTAGCCACTGGGCTGTTCAAAACAACAGATAGACAGACGTGGGTTGGCAACTTACCGATAGTCC